TAAAGATGTTAGAAAAAATATAGGAGAAAATATTTGATTTAGGACTAGGCAAAGAGTTATTAGATTTTATACCAAAAGCGCAGTCCACAAAAGAAAAAACTGCTAAACAGGACTTTATCCAAGTTAAATATGCATGCTCTTTCACAGGCCAGGTGAGGCGTGGGAAGAGACAAGCCACTGGCTCAGAGCACACATCTGCAAACCACACATCTGACAAGCAACTCGCATCTAGAACGCACACAAACTCTACAGCAAAAGAACAATCCAGACCACGAGCTAAAGAGAGGAGGAGATATTTCACTGAAAAAGATGCACAGGCGGCAAATCAGTATGGTAAGATACTTAGCATTATCGGCCACTAGGAAATCCATGATGATTCATGTCTGCACAATCAGAATGCCTGAAGTTAAAAACGCCAAATATCGGTAAGGAGACAGAAAAACTAGATTATTCATACACTGCTGGTGGATTCAAAAGAATACAGGTCTTTGAAAGGTGTTAGTTTCCTAAAAAATTAAACATACAACCCAGAAATTGCACTCTTGAGCATTTAACCCAGAGAAATGAAAATTTTCATTTGCACAAAAACCTGCCCACAGGACTTCTCTGGTGACTGACTCAGTGGTAAAGAATCTGCCTGCCAATGCAGGAGACACAAGTTCAATCTCTGATCCAGGAAGATTCCAAGTAACTATCGAGCCTGTGCTCTAGAGCCCAGGAGCTGCAACCAGCAAGCGCACTCGCCACAGCTACTGAGGCATGCACACCCTCGAGCCCGTGTTCCGCAACAAGAGAAGCTACCACAATAAACCTACACACTGCAACTAGAGAGTAGACCCCAACAGCCAAATATAAATAAATAAATAAAAAGTTTTAAAAAAATCTGCCTACAAACGTGCAGAGCAACTTTATTCACGATAGCCCCAAGCAGAGACAACACAAATGTCCTTTAACAGGTGAGTATTAAACACTATAGTCCACTCACACCTGGGGGAACAATCAGCAAAAAAAAAAAAAAAGAAAAATGAAGAAACTGCTGACATGCAATAATCCAGATGTGTCTCCAGAGAATTATACTGAGGGAAAAATAGCCAATACCCAAAAGTCACACAGGGTCTGGTTTCATCTACATAATGTTCTTGAAAAGGCAGAATTATCGATGTGGCAAAAGGCAAGCAGTGACCAGGGATGAGGGCGAGAGAGCGGCAGGCGTGGCCATCAGAAGGCAGCGGGACGCCCTGCCGATGGGACGTTCTGTCTCTGCAGCAGCAGGGTCACCGTCCTGGTTCTGGGAGTTGCCTGTTTTGCAGGCTGTTGGAGGAAGCAGGCAAAGCATACATGGTCTCTCTCTGTATTAATTCTTACAACTGTATGTGAACCTACCTTACCACAAATAAAGTTTCATTTAAAAAAAGCCTAGTGCTCGGGCCTGGTGCACTGGGAAGACCCAGAGGGATGGGGTGGAGAGGAAGGTGGGAGGGGGGAGCGGGATGGGGAATACATGTAAATCCATGGCTAATTCATTTCAAGGTATGACAAAAACCACTGCAATGTTGTAAAGTAATTAGCCTCCAACTAATAAAAATAAATGGAAAAACAATAAAAGTAAACAAAGAGACAACTCCCACGTGTCCCCGCAGGTGCCTCACTGCCCTGCCATCCTCACCTTCAGTCTCGCCCCCTTTAACCTGTGCGTTCCGAGGCTCTATTCCCACTAGCTGCCCGTCTCCTGGGACTTCTTGGTGACAGCTGGTCTGGTCGATGCCTCTGGAAACACGGTGCTCGGCTTCCAGGACACGGCACACCTCTGGGGGCTGCGGGGCCCCTCAGGTCCGCCTTGCGCTCTTCTTGGCTCCTTCTCTCCTACTTGGCTTCTGAATGTTGCAAGTCTCCTGACAGCCAAAGGCTCACACAAGCTTCATTTTTAGCCATCTTGCTTCTAGCTCCACACATTCGCACTGGGCAGTCTCATCCTGTCTCGTAATTTGAAACACCACCCATGACTTCACACATGCACCCTCAGCCCTGCTGCCCCCCGGAGCCCCTTCTCATACGTTCAACGGTATACTCAGCACCTACACGTGGGTGAAACAGTGTGTCCTGCTTCCCAGGGACAAAGCAGGGTTCTCAGTGTCCACCACACTCTGCTAAAACAAAATTCCTCAATCACCTTTCTCCCCTTCTCAGTAAAAGGCACCACCTTTCCTAATGGCTCAAGTCGCAGCATCTTTGATCCCTCTTTCTTTCACATTAAACATCACATTGAACCAATGAACAAGTTCTGTCTGCACTAACTTCAAAATGGAGCTTTCCACCCACATATCTGAAGGCCCCTTCCTCAGATCTTCACAAAACTAGTGCAATGAACAGATGCAAAAGCACACGTATATAACCACAAACCCACATTATTTACCTCCTATGGTCCCTCTGAACATAGTCACAGCCCAGGATGAAAATGTGGACAGGTCCTGTGAGGTTCTGATAACTGGGTAATAGATCCTATAATCAATGCAAGTAGAAAACACGGGCTGCACTCAGTAATTAAGCATCCCATCCCAGCTGCCGTGCTCCTCACTGAGACCATCGTCCCTCCTCCACGGGCCTGCACAGCTGGCTGCTTTCAGAGGGAAAGGACAGCACGGCCCTCTCTGCCCACCACGCCTCGCATTGCTCCTCCTTCCAGGGCCTCTGACCCCAGCTACAGTCCTCCCTGCACGGGGCCCACTGTCCCAAGATAACCCCCCTCTCCAGCCTGGCAGGAGCTCGTAGCTGACTCATCCCTCACAAGACACTCTTTCAGGACCCATCTGAACCCAGACGGCCATCTCTCCTCCAGATGGGGACCTGCCTGCCACCACCGCCCGTGCCTCAGCAGCCAGTCTCCTGAGGACCCCCATGCCTCCCGGGCCGGGCGGCATGCTCTCCCCAGGCGGCACAGGCGCTTATCACCCCCCAGCCCCCCAGCCCAAGGCGCAGGCCTGAGGCACCGCCCCTTGAAGGCTCCGTCAAGGAGCGTTCGTCTGAGGCAACCACAAACGCCCCGTCCCTGGGCCGTGGGGAGAGGCAGCCTCTCCCGCTGGAGAACACTCTTCAAATGTCCTGTCTGGCAACGTTCCTGGCCGTGCAGCGGTTAGGACTCTGCGCGTCCACTGCCGAGGACCTGGGTTCAACCCCTGGTGTGGACAGAAGAGAACAAAGTCTGTCTGATCTCCAGCAACCGGCGCTGTAGCCCCTCTGTGTGGAGCGGACTCGGCGCTCTCAGCCACCAGCTCCGGGCACCGGGCTCACGGCCCACACCCTGCGCAGCATGCCCTGCAGGCTCTCCAGCGCTGTCCCGCAGAACAGCGGGCTCCCAGAACCCACAGATCTTGCTTTCCCAGTGCCCCCGACCTGCCACCCCTGCCTGCCCCTCATCCTCCTGCTGCCGTCACAGAACTTGCCGTTACTGATTGGCATTATTTATCGAAAGCCTCCTGCCACCACTGTGCCTGCAGCATCTGCAGCCAGTGTGTCCCCTGGAAATACGTGTCAGGGGAGCCTCTGTGGCCCTTCCCAACCAGCGCCTCCCACCCACCCCTCCCCTGGGGGCACAGGCCCACCAGACTGGGTCACCTGGGCCGTGGCCAAGTCCCGTGGCTCACGCAGTGCCCCGCTCGGTGGGGCTGGCAGGGATGTGGCCATCTCCAGCTACTTTTAGGGTTTGTCTTTGTGGAAATTGTTCCTGGATTGGCTGCAGGGAGAGAACAGCCAAGCTCCTCATCACCGCCCTTGTCTCTGTTTCTCCCTTGATCAAACCAAGCCTGTTATCAGACACGACTCCATCTCCAAGGAGGGCTCTGGCTCAGTGGACCTCGGGCCAGCTTTTCCATAACTCACCCTCTGCCACCTTCCTGCCCAGCCAGCACTTACCAAACACTGTGAGATGTCCAGCCCTGAGACCCACCAAGTCTCCACGAACTCTAAGACGAGTCACAGAGCAGAGGGTTCCAGCCTGTCCCTCCCATCCTTGCCCATGCCAGAAGCACGTGGCTACTCCAGTGCTTCTAGAGGCTGGCGGCCCAAGCCCCATCCCCAGTGCACAGGTTCAAAGTGAATTACCTTGCACTCCACAAAGTCCCCTCCACAGCTCCCGGGCACAACATACGCTCTAGCTACCAAAATACAGCAATCCACCAGCCAGACCTTCCAAAACTCCTGTTTCAAATGCACTGTCTTTCTCCACTTCCTCTAACTTACCTGTTCTCATGCCCACAATCACAGGACTCTAGAGGGGACCTCTGTGGGGGTGGAGGGTCATCACATAAAAAAAGACACAGAGAGCTACCCAGGAGTCCCCAAGAAGAGCCTCAGCTGGAGGGGAGGCAGGCATGAGACAGGCCATCAGGAAGCCCCAGAGGTCCTTATACCCAGCTTCTGTCCACAAGCACCAACCCCCAGACCACCCTACAGGGCTAGGCTGGACTAGAGTCCTAATGACAGGGAAGACGGGGAGGGCGGGCAGGAGAGCAGGAGGGAGACTCAGAGCGACGCAAACAAAGGTATACAATGCAGTTCCCACCCCCAGGACTCTGGTTGCCCCCCTCCCCGGGATCCCCCAGACCCCACTTCCCACCCCCAGGACCTTGGCACAATCAGCGCATCCTTCCTGCACCTCAGCCCCACTCCTCCTGTTCACAAGGCAGCAGCCTGCTGCCTCAAGCCCAGAATGAGTTAACCAGCTTCTCCAAGCCTCCCACGTCTGCAGGCAGGGCTCTCGTCACCAGCAGTGGCAGGTCCACCTTCTCTGGAATTTTTTTTTTTCTAACCTTCACCACCCAGCCCTCACCTTCACTTTCAAAACAGAAGTTGCCTGGAGAATCCAGAACCTAGGTCAGTGGCCCTGCAGGGGAGCTGCCCGAAGGAGCCTGTGTTCCATCCTGGGGGGGAGAAGGGAGCCAGAGGCTGGACAGAAGCCTCGCCCCAAGGGGGTCCAGGAGCTCCTGGACCAAGACTTGACTCACGTTGTAGAGGATGTCGGTCCAGCCCTCCATGGTGATGCACTGGAACACCGTCAGGATGGCGAACAGGATGTTGTCGAAGTTGGTGATGCCGAAGTTGGGTCCGGCCCAGTACTCCCGGCACTCAGTGTCGCCCTCACACAGCCGAGCTGGGGCTTCCCTGCCACACGGGAAGTCACCTACCGGATCTGCATCTGCGGGGAGAAGGAGCAGGCAGGGCTGAGCGGGAAACACCGAGCTCTCCACCCTTGCGGGGACTGTGGGCCCCAGAGACCTCATCACAGGAGAAGGGGCTCAGGCACCAGGGAAACTGCCTCCTGCCACCCCTGCGCCTGCTCTGCCTCCATCCTCAACCGACAGCTTGCCCCCACCCGCCCTCAGATCCACCCTCTCAGGAACAGCTGGTCAACCTCTCCTTCCCCACAGAAACTGCCCATCACTATGAAAACACGCTGAGAACTCAATCACCTTAAAATCAAAAACAACCGACTCCTAACCTCCTACTCTTCCTATCGCCAGCACCCCAACTGTCCCATAGGCGAACCTCTGCCCAGACTTCCCCAACATGCAGGTCTGCCTGCCTCTCTGGAGCCAGAACCAAGCTGGACGGAGCCCTGAAGCCCCAGTGCTCTTCAGGCAGGTTGACCAACACAGGCCCAGAGCACGGCTGGGCCTCAGGGCCCAGTTCTCCTGGCACTGGCCCCAGCAAAGGGGACATGCTCTTGCTGGCAGCCAGGAGCCACACAAGAGGTGTTAAAGAAATCGCAGAAAACCAGGACTAACCTCTGGAATAAGGGGGCAAGCAACTCATGCTAATCCCTCCCTCCCAAAACCTAAAGAAAAAACTATTCTTTAAAAATGCATAACAACACATGGAAAAGCTCTCCTATCAGGATATGGGAAATCTTTAGGAATAGCTAGGAAGGGAAGCAAATATTCCCAGATTTAGAAGGCAAAACTGATCACACAAGTTTGTTCCTTTCCTTCCAATTATCTTAATAAATGTTCATAAAGAAAACCAGGAAGTCATTGTTTGTCTATTTGTAGACAAATGTATTCTCCGTGAATAATGACAGTTTTATTTCCTCCTTTCATATTCTTCTTAGAGTTTTTGTTCTTTTTCTTGCCTCACATCACTGGCCACAAACACCACGGCTACATGGACCAGAAGTGACCATGTGTGCCTTTATCTCATTTTTTACTTTAAAGGAAAAGCTCTCAAGACTGATGACAAAGTATGATGTCTGAAGGGAATTTCAGGAAGTTTAAGAAAATTCCCCTTATTTCCAGTTTGATTAAGAGGGTTTTTAAAATTATAAATGATTTAAACTTTAATAAAAACTTTTCCTGCATCTATTGAGATGATCATACAGGTTTTCTCCTTTAATGTGTTTGTAGCTCAAGACACAAACCTTTGTGTCACCCTTAACTCTTCACTTTCTCTTACTCCACATACAATTGCCCAGAAAACCCAGATGGCCCAGCACGCCTCACTGCAAAATATACCCAGAACTTGACAGATTCTAAGAGCCAAACAGGTTTCCCAGGTGCTCAGTGATAAAGAAGGCTCCTGCCAGTGGGGGAGACTTGGGTTCAATCTCTGGTCTGGGAAGATCCCCTAAAGAAGGAAATGGCAACCCACTCCAGTATTCTTACCTGGGAAATCCCATGGACAGAGGAGCCTGGTGGGCTACAGTTCTTGGGGTCACAAAGAGTCAGACACAACTTAGTGACTAAAACAATACCAAGTGCCAAACAGCCTGGCCCCAGCCTCTATCCATCTCTCCTGGCCTGAGATTTGACTCTCTGACTCTCCCCTGTTTGACCTGCCTCCCCAGAGCAGCCAGACAATCAGAGGGTACAGGCGCTCACTCAAGGCCCCACTGTCCTCCCACTTCTCTAGGAATAAGATTCAGAGTCCTACCATGGCCTGAACCCACAAGATGCCCCTGCACTCACTGCTTCTCACTCTGGCCTTTCACACTTACTAGTCTTTGTAACCACAGCTTCCGGCAGGCTGCGGAATGGGCTCCCTCTCACCACACTCAGGTCGCTGTCCAACTGTCACCCTGACAGAGAGGCCTCCCCAGGCTACTCTCTGTGAAACAGACCCCCAAATCATTCTATTTTAGATACCTTTCTTGTTTCCCTCCTAGAAGTTACTACAGTAACTTCTGTAATTACTTCGTGTGTTTGTGTTTACCAGATTCTTGCCTGAGTCCACTTCCTTTGTCTAGCACCTAGAAGGCCCCCTCAGGGCCCAGAACAGAGAATCTCCCCGGGACGAATGAGTCTGTGGTCCTTCTCTGGGTCCGACGGGTACTTCAAGGCCTCACCTGTGCTGTTGGGGAAACAAGCCTTGTGGAATTTGCCCATGTAGAACTCGAGGCCAATGATGGCGAACATGAGGATGGCGAAAAAGAGAAGCAGCCCAATCTGCAGGAGTGGAACCATGGCCTTCATGATGGACTTGAGCACCACCTGCAAACCTGGGCAGAGCAGGTGAAGCAGGCAGGTCAGGAGCACAGTGGGCAGGGCAGGGAGTGGGCTGGGGTATGGACAGAACAGCAAGGGCCTGGGTAGGCAGGCCTGAGAGTCCTGGGCAAAGTGTGGAGCAATGAGTGTTCCTGAGGCCAAAGGACAGAGCTGGGCCCTCAAAGCAGGGGACAGAGAGGGAGCGGTGGGGAAGCAGGACAGAACGGTGAGTGCCTACATGGGGTAGAGCTGAGCATCCTTGAGGTGGGGGAGTGGACCGAGCAGAGTCCCAGTTAGCGGGAGGAACAGTGTGTGGGGGTATCAGTAGGAAGTACTGAGGAGAACTCTGAGTCTGTGGAGGGTTCAGGGTGGAGCAAAAGTGGAGAGTCCTGAGAAGAAAGAGGAGGAACACCTGGGAACTTAAAGCAGGGGATCCTGGGAACTAAGAGCAGGGGACGCTGAAAGGGAAGAGCAGGGGATCCTGGGAACTAAGAGCAGGGGATTCTGGGAATGAAACACAAGGGTTCCTGACAGACCCACTCCTGAGGGAAAGGAAAGCAGGGGGCCTGCTCTTAAGGAGGGTTTCACCACTGACTGTAGGGCATGAGTATGTCCAGGCCAGGGGAGCAGTCTCCACTTCTAGCCTTGAGCTCGCTCCTGGGTACAGGCCTGAACCTCTTCCTGGCAGGGTCTTGGGGCAGTACAGAGAGCCAACCAGCAGTCTTCCCTGCAGTGGGCTCAGGTGACACAGCTCCAGGCCTGCCAGCCGGACCCTGGAGGAAACCCGAACTTCCACTGGCCTGGAGGAACATGGGCCCAGGCGGTCAGCACTCTCACGGCAGCCTGGCCACCCTCTGCCCTCACATGGCCTCTTGAGCCGCCCAGTCCTGGAGCATGTCTGGCCTGGGCCACAGGTCTCGACAGCGCTGCCTAGCCTGAGCCAGGACAGACGGCCCTCAGCAGCCTCCGAATGTACTCCCTGCCCCACCACCTTGGTTCGCCTCTCATCTGCTCCTTGACCCCAGGAAAAGAAGCAAAGAGCTGGAAATACAGCAAAGGGCGTGAGAGGAGCAAAGCTTCCATGTAGGAAGCTGGGTTACCCTCTAGTCTTTCAAGGAGATGGGAGAGACTGGAGAAGGGCCATTTGTGCCTTCTTTAAGCCTGGTTCCTTGGGGCTAAGGGTGGCAAGCTCAGAGTCACCAGAGGGTCCGGAGGTCAGGGCCTCACTGTGGCTGTGGCAGGGGTAGGGGACAAGGTCAGTGTCCAGGTAGGCTGGGCCTGATTGCTTTTCGCCAGACTCACTTGGAATCCCAGACACCAGCTTCAGGGGCCTCAGCACACGCACAGCCCGCAGCGTTCGCAGGTCAAAGTCAGTGCCAGCTGTGGCGAGGATCCTGGCAGGAACAAAGACAAGCGGGAAGTAAGGGCTTCTGCATGGTGCTGAGGAGAGGGCACGCCCCTCCCACCACCCATGTCCTGTCCTCCAAGACCACTGACATCTTCACGCCTGTGTCCCCCACTGTCCAAGCACCAGAGTACCAGGCAGGGGAGGCCAGGAACTGAATTCAGACATCCTCGCCAGTAATGTTAGTGACGGTTTTACCAGCATGACCATCCTTCCGGGCATCACCTCTGAGGGAACATTCGGTCTCTGGTCCCTGGCCCGGCCTTGAATCTGTCCTTGAATTGAGTCCGAGCCTGAACCATGTCCCCAAGCAACCCCAGCGGCTCTCCAAGCTGCCCCATGAGCGCTGGTGATACTGAGAGCAGAAGGATGAGCTGGAGGGACTTCTGAACACAGGGCCACAGATGCCACGGGGCCTCCCCGCTTCCCACAGGAGAACACAGGAGTGAAGAGTGGAGAAGGTGAACGGAGGGTTCAGAAAACCCCATTAGCATAAAAGCATACCCCAGTGTCTCCCATCTTAAAACAAAACAGAAAATTCCGTATCTGCCTCCTACCCCAGCAAACTTCTCTGCTCCCTTCACTCCAAAACTCATCCAAAGTGTCAATCCTTGGTCTCCCACTGTTAACTCTTCAGTCTCTCTTCAGCTTTGTCCAGCTACATTCTCACTCCCACCATTCCACTAAAATGTTTTGTCAAGCCTTCTTGCCGACATCAGTAGCTAAGTCTCCCATAAATGGTTTCTTCTCTTGCCCGCTGGCCAACTCTCTCATCTTCTTCTTGACACCCTGGGGGTCCCTTTGTCAGCTCTGCCCTGTCTACCAGACTGAAAACTTGAATGCATCAGGGCTCAAACCACACAGAATCCACCCAATAGCTGTGAATACCACTGAAAGCTATTACTCCCTAATTTATATCTTTAACTCAAATCTGGAACTCTGGATTCATATGTCCATCCATTTGCCTTTTTCAACATTTCCACTTGGATAGCAAAAAAAGCATATCAAACATTAATAAAACTAAAGAATACTTTTTAAAACTTTAATGCAAATATTAAGGTATGTATTATTTTTAAGTTCAGAGTTGTTACATGGTGGCGACTAGAGAATTTTTTATTCTTTCTCCCAACCTTGCTCCTCTGACAGTGTTCACCCCTCTGTGAACAGCACTAGTCAACTCTTCCGTAAGCCAGAGCCAAGGCTTCCTACCTGACTCCTCTTTCTCCTACACTCCACATCCAATTCACTAACAATCCTGTTGACTCTCCCTTTAAAAAGTCTTGGACTCTCAGTGAAAAAGCATTGTTGCCTGCCCCCCTGCCCCCAACTCTAGAGACACAGCAGTAAGGAATAATATTTGAGATGCAGCTGGGATAAAATAAGATGAAATGGTAGGGGGGAAAGAAAAGAAGAGCAATAAGAAAATCAATTCAAACCAACATTCCATAGCACATGAGAAAAATCCAATACTAAGAGGGATATTCAACTACTGGAAGATAGTAGCTAGAACTTTTGGAAAAAACAAACATTTATTTAAATAATATGAATAATAATCATACTCTAAGCTGGAGACATAGCTGGAGAGTATTAATGGTTTAGGAAACAGTACTAAGGAATCACTCACAAACAACAGAAAGACAAAGAAAAAATTGGAAGAAATGAAATGATACAGAGGTTAAACCATATACCTACCACACATCACATGTGGGTTCCAGAAAAAGAGAATCGAGGGAACATGGTGAAGAAGCAACATTTGAAGAGATAACAGACGAGAAATATCCCAAATTAAAGACTTGATTTCTCAAATTTAAAGTGTATTAGGGGTACAATCAGATAAATAAAATACATCCAACTAGAAATGGTGTGAGTAACTACAGGATATCAATCATAAAAAGAAAGCATTAAAGGCTACCAAAGAGAAAGATGAAATACCTAGGGGAGAAAAATGATAGTTAAAAGGAGAGAAAACGTCACCTCAGGAAAAAAAAAAAGAGAGAGAGAGAGAGAGAAAATATGCTAGAAGACAACTAAGTAACACCTTCAAAAAGCAGCAGGAAAATAATTGACATCTTAGAACCTTATATCTAGCTAAACTGTGAATGAAGAGTGATGGCAAAGTAAACATATTTTCATAGATTCAGTAAGTCATCACTCCGGATCCTCGGTAAAACAACACAGGAACTGAACCCAAAGGGAAAGCACAGTATAGAAGAACAATGGTAGGCACAGAAAATAATTTTTAAGTAATTAATTGCTCATTGATTTTTTAAATTATGATGTCCAATTTTTCACTATTTTCTACACACAAAACTAACAACCTAGGCAATAACAAAATTATTTACAGAAGGGGTTGTTCCACGTATAGTTGCATCAGATTATGTTACAGAGGTTAAATCACTCTTCACTGTATTAGGCCAGAAGATGGCAAACGTTTTCTGGAAAGGGCCAGTAATAAATATTTAGACTTTGTGAGTCATAAGATCTCTGTTACAACCACTCAACTCTGCCATGTAGCATAAGAGATAACATGTATATGAATGGACAAGACTGTGTTCCAATAAAATTTTATTTATAAGCACAGACTGCCAGGCAGTTGGGCTATAACCGTCTTTCCTCCGTGCTAAACAAATGTACGCATGCGTGCGTGCTCATTCAGTCATGTCTGACTCTTTGCAACCCTACAAACTGTAGCCCACCAGGTTCCTCTGTCCATGGGACTTCCCAGGCAAGAATGCTGGATTGGTTTGCCGTTTCCTCCTGGGGATCTTCCCAGCCTGGGGACTGAACCCGTGTCTCGTTCTTGGCAGGCGGACTCCACCACTGAGCCACCTGGAGGTGCAGACTCATGTGCAGCGATGAATCTGTCTTTAAAACGTTCGGGGACGTCCCTGGCAGCCCAGCGGTTAAGACTTCAGCTTCCAACGCAGAGGGCGCAGGTTCGACCTCTGGTCAGGGACTTACGATTTTTGTGGGCAAAAAACCAAAACATAAAGCAGAAGCCACATTGTAACAAATTCAATAAGGACTAAAAAATGGTCCACAACAAAAAAAATGATAATAATAAACTTTTTAAAAATGTTAAGGATATCTAGTAAATGGATAGAAATACAGTCTATTTCAGAACCAGCTGGGGGGAGGGGGCGGTGTAGGGGGAAGGTGTATAGGGAACAGATAATAAAGAACATTTAGTCAAATTACAGAAATCAGACAAAGACTCCTCAAAAAAGGCTAAGAAGGAATATAAAAAGAAAACATAAAATATGACATTAGAATTAAGTCCAAATATATTATAAAATATATAAATGAATTTTAATTTCTTATTAAATCATAGATTATTAGATTGGGGCTTTTGAAAGTCCAAATATATGCTACTTACAAAAGACATACCTGAAAACAATACAGAAATGTTGAAAATAAGAGATTTTAGAAAGAATATACTAAGTAAATGGTACAGGAAATGAAGCTGATATATAATACTAAAGAAAAAATGTAATTTAAAGCAAAAACAATATTAACAATATTAAGAGTAAAGAGAAACATAATACATAATAATGAAAACAAAATTACACCAAGGAATGCAATCATCATTAATTTTTATGCATCTAACACCATAAAATCAAAACAGAGAAAGAAAAAATGAAAACTCCTCCAACTTGGTGGAAGATTTTTGCAAAGCTCTCAAAAGAATCTGAAGGACTAAACACCAAAGTGCAATAATGCTGTGCACAATTACAACAGAATTAGCACCTTGATCATTTTATTGTTCTGTCTTCTATATCTTCCATATATTTCTTCATCTATCTATCTACCTATCTATCAACTAGAATCTATCTAGTTTTATATGAAAATGAGTTCCTAAAAAAATAGAAAATATATATTTTTAGAGTACACAAGAATAGCTTTGAAAATATGCTACCTCACAAAAGAAGCCTCAGCAAATTTCAAAAAATTAGTGACTTTTATTATTGCACCTCTGCAATTAAACTAATGCAATTAAATAATAATACAACAAATGCAAAGTGAAAATGCAAAGTGAACAATACAAAGAAATAGAGGAAAACACTAGACTTGAAAAGACTAGCGATCTCTTCAAGAGGATTAGAGACACCATGGGAATATTTCATACAAAGTTGGGCACAATAAAGGACAGAAACAGTATGGCCCTAACAGAAGCAGAACAGATTAAGAAGAGTGGCAAGAATACACAGAACTATACAAAAAAAGATCTTCATGACCCAGATAACCACAATGGTGTGATCACTCATCTAGAGCCAGACATTCTGGAGTGTGAAGTCAAGTGGGCCTTAGGAAGCATCAAAGCTAGTGGAGGTGAGGGAAGTCCAGCTGAGCTATTTCAAATCCTGAAAGAGGATGCTGTGAAAGTGCTGCACTCAATATGCCAGCAAATTTGGAAAACTCAGCCGTGGCCACAGGACTGGGAAAGGTCAGTTTTCATTCCAATCCCAAAGAAAGGCAATGCCTAAGAATGTTCAAACTACCACACAATTGCACTCACTTCACATGCTAGCAAAGTAATGCTCAACATTCTCCAAGGTAGGCTTCAACAGTATACAAACCAAGAACTCCCAGATGTCCAAGCTGGATTTAGAAAAGGCAGAGGAACCAGAGATCAAATTGCCAACATCTGATGGATCACAGAGAAAACAAGAGAATTCCATAAAAACATCTACTTCTGCTTCACTAACTACACTAAAGCCTTGTGGATCACAACAAACTGAAATATTCTTAAAGAGACAGGAATACCAGACCACCTTACCCACCTCCTAAGAAACCTGTATGCAGGTCAAGAAGCAACAGTTAGAACAGGACATGGAACAATAGAATGGTTCAAAATTGAGAAAGGAGTACATCAAGGCTGTATATTGTCACCCTGCTTATTTAACTTATATGTAGAGTATGTCATGAGAAATGCTGGGCTGGATAAAGCACAAGCTAGAATCAAGATTGCTGAGAGAAATATCAATAACC